GCCCTCGGGAGGGTGAGGCGGGAGGACCCCCAACACACCAGGAGTGGTTGGCAGCACTCAGTGGGCAGCCGGCGCCGGTGCCGTGCCGGAAAGCCAGGCCCACGTGGCCGCCTGCGTGGGAAGCGGCACTGCCAGCCTGGAGTGGCGCGGCCCGTAGGTGGTCGGCCCCACAGGTCACACCTGGGCCTCCCCGGCTCAGTCCTCGGCCAGCTCACGTGCCCTCTGGTCGTAAGATGGTATATAAAGTGCCACGCCACAAGCCAGAGTGCAGCCGGGGCGTTCTCGGCTCCCGGGCAGGAAAGAGGAGGACATGGGCGCCCGTGTCACCTAGCCCTCCTTCCACGTTTCCGGTCCCCGACTCTGACACGCGGCGGCACCACCTGCCGAACACTGTGCTGTGTGGACTGCAGGGAGCGTGGGGACGGCAGCGAGGGAGGCTACCGAGGGAGGGGGCGCCTCCAGGGCCGACTAAGCGGCCATCGGAGGACCCGAGCAGACAGTGAATGCAGCAGGGAGGACTGAAGACATGTGGGCAGACAGGGACCTCAGTCCTTGGGGACAACGTGCAGGGGCAGGAGAAATGAGCTCCTGACCCGAGGCCCGTAAACCGGCCACGGACTGCTCGTAGGGGACTGCGTGCTCACAGGTAACGGGGTAACTCGGGGTAACCGGCGAGGCCGGCAGGCGGTCTCGAGGCACCCTGGCGACAGGAGAGAGAGAAGCAAACACTTCGTGTCAGGGCGACGTCGTCCTGGAAGGAGACCCAGCTGAGGGCCGGCCAGGGCAGCCGTCCCCGACGGTGACAGCTGGGGCAGTGCGGTGCTGGCGGGGTCTGGCTCTCCTCCCAGCAGGGCCCCGGCCAGCGGAGCACGCGGTGTCTAAGAGGGCCTCTGGGATGGGGCCGGAGGTCACCAAGGGGCTGCCTGGGACTGAACGCAAACCCAGACACGTGAGGAAAGCCACGCCTCGCTCCAGAGCGTGCAAAGGTCAGGGCAAGGAAAGCTGGGGGCTGCAGGCCGCCCTCCCGGATGGTTTCTGGAGAGACAGCCAGAGTCCCCGAGACCCTCAAACTGGGGCAGGACTCACCGTGGTGGGAAGGCCAGTGCAATGCAAAGGCCCGGGAGAGCGGGGGGTGACAGGAGCCAGCGGGGCTTCTCGGGCCTTTGCACTGTCTGCATATGCAGAGCGAGGACAGGGACAGGCTCCAGCTTGAGGAAACGGGGTAAAGACGCTTCTCGAAGCCGGGCGCCAGGACATCCAGCGCGAGGCCAGGGCGGCTGAGGGCGCACACGCGCCGCTTCCTCCGGGCGCACGAGCTCAGCCCGCGCGCCCACGCCAGCTCACTCCCGCTTCCGTCACCCTAGGGTTTTCTAACTCAACGGTGCCACGCACTCGCCACCTCTGGGGGCTCTGCTGTCACGAAACGCAGCCCCTCCCGGCCCCTCAGCAGCGTCCGTCGGTCAGACAACCACGCACTCCTGGAGCGCCCTCTCCGGCCTCCTGGGGACCCGGGTCCGAAGACCTTTTGTGGAAAAGATGGTTCTTCCCCGACAACTATGTTGGCACCTTGTCAAAAATCAATCCACTGGAACCCGAGGCTCTGTTTCTGGGTCTCGGATCTTTTCTGTTGGCCCGCGAGTCTACACCGGAACCACGGTCTCACAGTGTTGTGAAGGCAGGAAACACGGGTCTTCTAATCCTGGTCCTTTTTTCAAGATTATTGTGACTCTTTCGGGTTCCTTATGCTTCCACGTGAATTTTAAGACCATCCTGTCAACCTGCAAAAAGCGGCCCGGGCTCTTCACAGGCTCCCCATCTGCGGCGGTCCAGGAAGCACCATCAGCCTCGCAGAACCGAGTTTCGGGCCCACGGACATGGAAAGGTTTTCCAGTTATTTAGTTCTTGGGTTTCTTCCAACAAAATCCTGTAGTTTTCAGTGCTAAGGTATTTTTAAAGACTTATTTTCTAACCGCTCCTGGACACAGGCGTGCGACGGACTCTTCCGGGCTGCATTTCTGGTATCTGTGGATGTTTTCAAGCAGAAAGCCTCACCAGGAATGTAAGCCCACGGCAGAGGCTGTGTCCTGTCACTGCATGGAACAGGCCGGAGAGCGGCGGTGACACCAGGGAGTCAGCGAGGCAGAGACTGGACGGCCAGAGAGACCTCATCGGGACCTGGCGGGGGTCTAAAGAGGGGGACCCTCAGGTTCCTGCAAGCCCACCAGTAAAGGTGGTGCTGACAGCACTGGGGGACAGTTTTGGGCAAAGGTAGGGAGCTGGTCATGTTGGTCTTTAAAAAAGACCTAGAAAGAGAATAATTCCACTCTCAAGCACACAACCGATAAAACGTGTACATGTGTGCACCACAAGACATGTCCGACAGTGCTGACGGCCACCGCTGGTAATCGCCAAAAGCAGACCAGAGCGGGGCACACCGTGACACATGCAGAGTGAGTCGCTGACGAGCCCCTGCCACACGAGACACGCATTAGCATTACAGGGGCAGAGACGAGTCAAGAGAACACGGAACACATACCATGACTCCATGTATACTGTGATGTGCTTCCGTGGGGCTGGGGTGGAGCTGACCACCGCCGGCCGGCGACCTGGTGAATCATGCCTTCTAACGGCGCCCCGACTGCGCCCTGAGAGCTCGGGCACCTGCAGGCCGGCGAGCACACCTGCAGGCGGAGGCAGCAGAGCTCCCCGACAGGAGCGTCCGAGCACGGCAGCCTCCAGACCCCCCCCCCATCGTAAGGCCGTTCACCTGCCTGCGCTGTACCCTTCAGTCGGCTGGGAGGAGTGAGCTCCAGCCCCCCCCCCATCGTAAGGCCGTTCACCTGCCTGCGCTGTACCCTTCAGTCGGCTGGGAGGAGTGAGCGAAGGTTTCCTGAGGCCCGAGAGCCCTGGTGGCACATTATGGAACACGTGGAAGGGGTGGCGGGTGCCCACACGTGTCCTCGCAGCCGGCCTCTGAGGTGAGGGGCCCGCTCGGTGGACAGAGCCCTCAGCCGCGGGCCAGCCCAGCGGGGTCTGCAGAGAGTGGGAAGGCTTGCTGCCTGCAGCCCACCTACTCGGTGTGCGAAGCCCCGAGAGTGAAGCTTTCCTTTCGATTTCACTAACCAAGTTAAAAGCAGGCCTGACCTGTGCTGTCCGGGCTCAGGGCAGCGTTTACTTCCGGGGCGAGAAGAGCCAGCAGGGACCCCGAGTCGGGAGCGCCGTCTCCACCAGGTCAGGGTTCTGCTCCGTGGCCATGATGTCGTGAGCCGTGGCAACGGCTGTGCATCTTTCTGTGTCCCCTGCAGCTGGGAACGTGCCTAACGTCTACCGATCAGTGTCCCCTGGATCAACCTGCAGGCGCGTTCTGACAGTGCTACGCTCGGGCAAGCCCGGGACAGCGAGCTGACAGAAGTGACCAACCGCAGATGGGGACCCCACTGACGGAGGCCCCTAAGTAGTGGGGTTCAGAGAGAAGAGTGGAAGGGGCTGGGCAGGGCCAGGTGCAGAGCACCGGGTGGCTCAGTGGTGCAGCTCGGCCCTGCGGGGTGAAGTGGGCCTGGGATGGCGCTGAGTGTGGAGGGACCCGGCACTGCCAGACCGCACACTGCACACGGCTAGCACAGGGATTTCACGTGTGTAGATTGTGCCACAAGTGAAAACAAGCAAAACTGAGCTGGGCTCCCACCTCCTATCCCACAGATTCCTGTTTGCAGGCCCTTGGACCATGTGGGGCTTTAAGAGGCAACGGAACACCCTAAACCTTACAATGAAAGTTTTGCGTTGACATAAATAGAAACTTTTCTACAGAAAGGCTTCCAGCAATGTCTCTTTTTTTTTTTTGGAGAGATTTTCCCTGTAGGGCGCGTGCGCTCGCCAGACAGACAGAGAGAGACATAGAGACAGAAAGTGAGAAATCACCCCCCAGGGGGGATGGTCATGCCGCAATCCCTTCTCCTCCATTCTCCTCTCGGGATCTTGGGCACGCACGCACATGTGCCCGGCGTGAGTTTTAAGCCACCGGGTCCGGGACGCGAACCGTGGTCGACTATGTGGGAGTCCAGCGACATAGCCATTACGCTAACTGCTGGTTCCCAACAATGTCTCTTTTCTTAAGTTTCTTTACTTACTTACTGAGAGACAGACACATGCCCCTGACCCTAACAGGGTCTCGTGGTAGCCCTCCCCACCCCAGCCTTCCGGCCAGCCAGGCCCTGGCATGCCCACCCATACCATGAGCCGCATGCCGGCAGCCTTCCGGCCACCAGGGAACCAGACCGAGGCCTTTCCACATGGCCCCGGAGCCGCACGGCGGCTGCACCACCCACGGCCCACATCACCGCAGCTGGGCCCAGTCCATCTTAGGGGTCTATAACCCACCTTAGATGAGACATGGAAGGTGCACTTGGGACATTCATGGGGACACAGCGCTAAAAGTTTAAAGGACTGGGCAGATCGGTATTCAAAACTGAGCGAGTCGGTCGAATGGAGCGAGGCTGTACTGCCTGGCTCAGACTGGGTCCCTGCGAGGATCGCTGAAGGAGCCCATGCACCTGGAGGCAGTGTCCAGGGAGAACACAGTTCCGTCTCTTCCGCACTCGCAAAGCCAGTCCTAGCCTGGGGCTGACGTGGCTCAGGGTACATGATCCTAACCCCAGTGGTTTCAAGCCGCAGGGATTCGCCCTCGGGAGG